TGCTTTGTCTCGGCGCTTCGCCTGGCACCTGGTGTGGCTGTCCGTGATCCAGCTGTGGCACTACCTCTTCATCGGCATGCTCAACTCTCTGCTGACCAACTTGGCGGGCGGGGACAGGACTCAGGGTGTGTGTGGGGGCTGGGAGGCAGTCCAGCTGGCCCATGCTGGAGCCCTGAGGGGCCGGAGGAATGGGCCCTGTGTTCCAGGGGAGGGTCAGAGGGCCTGTGGGGGGGGGGAGAGGCAGGACAAGGGCCCGGGCATCCTCTCCTTAAATCAGGCCTGGCAATCTCTTATCACCTGACCCCTCTCTGCTTTTTGCAGTCAGCGCCTACACCAACGCCTTTGCCATCACTCAGTTCTTCGGAGTGCTGTGTGCCCCCTGGAACGGGCTGCTCATGGACCGGCTTAAGCAGAGGTACCAGAAGGAAGCGAAAAGGACAGGTGAGATGGGTTGAGGGACCAGGAGAGGAGAGATCCTCGTTTTACCTCACGCTGTCTTCTTTTGCATTAACCTTTTCTCCCTGCGCTCATTCGCTCATTCAGCCACCGGCCACTGAGGGATAATTAAGAGCCAGTGACAGGGCCAGACACCAGGGGTTCAGCAGAGGATGAGTCAGATACACCTGTTTTTTCTCAAGCTGTCCTCCATCTAGCGGGTAGAGCAAGACAGGTCATCAGTCAGTTACGACCCACCAAGCACAGACAGTCCCTACCCCGGGGTTCTGACTTTCTGATGGTGACTAACCCTGCAGTACAACCATTCTGTTTTCCCCCTTTCAATGTAGTCTCCCATAAATAACATGAGGTATTCAGTGCCTTATTATAAAGCAGGCTCTGTGTTAGATGATTCTGCCCACTGAAGGCTGAGATGTATGTTCCGAGCACGTTAAGGTAGGTTAGGCAAAGCTGTGACGTTCAGCAGGTTAGGTGAGTTGAATGCATTTCAACTTGATGAGATTTTGCAATTTTCAGTGAGTCATAACCCCGTGTAGCAGACGAGGAGCCTGTGTAAACACACAGGGGATAATGGGACTCAAAGAAAGTCATGTAACCTGTTCCGGGTGAAGATGGGTTGGTGTCAGGGAAGGCTTCCTGGAGGAAACGGCATCTAAGCTAAGACCGAGGGAAGAGTAAAAAGGGAGGAGATGAGGGAAGGGGGCCAGAAGGGTGACGGAGAGAGTGAGTCAGTGAGGCAGCTGGTGGATCCTGGCACGTGATCCAGGCCAACCAGGGCACAGAGTTCTCGGGGAGCTGTAGGGAAGGGCCCGGAAGCAGAGGGGTGAGAAGGGGCCAGGATGTCACCACACCCCGAGAGACTGGACACGATCCTTGGACATGATGGGAGGACACTGGGCTGCTGAGGTACCTCACCCTGTGGGGGGTCAGGAACGGGGAGGGGCAGAATCTCAGACAGCACGTCATTTCACCCGCAAATTCTTCGGCATGGATCTCTGACCCGGGGCCTCTTTTATGTAAATGTCACCATGACATCATTGTCACACCTAAAAAAGGAAGAATAATTTCTTAATACTGTCTAACGTGCAGTCACTGTTCAAATTCGCCTCGTTGTCTCGTACGTAGCTTTAGGGTTGGTTTGTTCAAATTAGGATCCTAGGTCTACAAGTGTTCTCGGTAGAC